TTACTGAGAAATTGTGTCATTCCGGAACTGGAAGCTGCTTGGTTATTAAGTACCGTTCGGTTGCAACAAGATGGCGCACCTGCACACGATGCACTAACGTTGCGGGATTTTCTCAACCAGACATTCCCTTGCCGTTGGACCGGGCGGGGAGGACCTATAGAGTGTCCTGCTCGGTCACCAGATTTGAACCCATTGGATTTCTTCCTCTGGGGTTACTTGAAATAGCGAGTTCACAAAACGAAGCCAAATTCCCTTGAGAAATTGAAGCAGAGCATTTTGCACGAATGTCGCGGGATCACAGATGGGACTTTGGAGAATGTGCTAGCAAACACCATCAGGCGAATGCTGCACTCCACGTAAATCTGAGCATTACATTGATGCTCTGTAAATCTATGTATAATGCAAGGATATATGGACTAATTTCGTGCACTGGCTAATTCTCTCTTTTTTTAGAAACGCCACTTGATGGTTTATCCTTGGGTTCTGCCTGTTGTGTTATAAATCGCTTGTTCACCCGTAGGTCGCCCCCAACTTGAAACCTTGTCCCTAGGGTTCAGTTTCTCTATTCCTTCAAACCAATGTGGTAGAATAGCAGCCGATGCTCAGTTTGCACATTTGAACGAACATCTGCGCAGTTGAACAGAGACCAATGAGGAGACAAACGGTTTCTTTACAACTACGAGGGTAGACCTTGCCAGCCAGTCCTGCGACAGTGACACAGAGAATTGCTGTACCATGACGAAGAATCATTGTGAATCCTTAACGCAATTGCTACGCAATGAAAAGGCTATAGTACTGAGACAAGCTATGGGATCAGGTGTCGTCATAACGGAAAAACAGGGCTACATCCAGGAAATGCAAAAATTTTCTCACAGACTCTAGTCGTTTCGTTCATGATCTGACAGATAGCGATAAAACCGAACAGATTGTGAAATCAAAGGTTCATGACGGTGGGATGGATTGACGCAAAAACTTTGACACAGCCGATCACTCGAGTATCTCGGCTTCCTTATATATACGGACTGCCGAAAACCCACAAGCAAGGCATCTCCTTACGATCAGTTGTTTCAGTGGTAAGCGCACCGTATCAGAAGTTGGCTTGGTCAATGTAATCGAGCCTATCCGAAGGAAAGTAGCTGACTACAGTCTTAAAGACACGTTTGTTAATAGCATACGAGATTTAAACGTTGCCGGGAAGCATGTTCTTCGATATATGCTCGTTGTTCACATCACACCTGGAAACTACCAAGTTGCGGTCTCGTATACAAAATGCTCACTGTTACCTAATTGCTTCTTTCACTGTACTTAAGCTCGCACGTACAGTGGCCGAATTAGGAGAAGGCTGTCAGCGATAATCGCTGAGCGCTTGATCTCTACCACATGGTTGTATAGGGCCCCAAGCTGTCTATCAGTTCGAGTGCTCTGCGTAATTATCAAACAAAGTGACTCGTCTGCTTCAATTTGCCGAGGATTCGGCGGTTCGGTGGCTGAAACCAAGCTAATGCAAACGGACAGATTTTGTGACCAGCCTCGCTCTACACTGGTGAGGTCAGCGCTCGTTGCTCTCTTGTTGACTACGATTAGTGGTTTGCCTGTCTGTACCCAGTCGTATCCGAGTCAGATTATCGCGTGCTTTGGATAATTAGGTCGGCTGGGTCTCCGCACTAGAGTGGCCATCAGCCAGTGCTGTTTGCAGTCGAGTCTCCACTTCACACGTGGCCCGACAAAAGGGGCAGAGACAAGTGTGACGCTGAGCGGACGCGCAGACTCATGGACGCTTGCGCTCCAACACAGCATGTCGATTGGACGGTTTCAATTTAGAGGGAATGTGTTAGGTTTCTTTCAGGCGCGCATTGCTGCGGCAAAGTGGGATGCTGCTGGACCTATATTCTCAGGCTGCCTGTAAATGGTCTACTAAATCTTCATCGATCATTGCCTCAATCACCTTTGAGATCACAGAGATACTGACTACTGGGCGATCGTTTGCAAGTTCCAAGCGATTGCCACTTTTGAAAATCGTGGTGATCAGACCGCGTTTCCACATTGTAGGCACAGTTTGCTCATCCAAGCACGTTTGTAAGAAATGCAATAATGGATTTGCCAACGTTGTTGCTGCTAACTTCAGCGCCCTCGGGTGAATACCATAGATTCCAGGGGGACTGTGGGTGCACAGTGAGAGCAGTTTCTTCAGCACAGATGTGGCAGTAAAAGCGATGCTAGTAAGTGCTGAAATTGTGGCTATGGACGTAGGTGCGTTACGTTGGCGGACGTCTTGTTGGAAGGTCGGGGCATACTGCATCCTTATGGCTTTGGCTGTTTCTTCAGCACTGTGTGCCACTCCGGCTGCCGTGCTTCACTTTCCAAATAGTGAAGGAGCTTCTTCGTTGTTGGAAAATTTGCAAGCCAAATGTTGTTGCTGAGTCAATTTGTTCTAACGAACAAACATATTACAATGCTTGCACTGAGCCGCGTAGTCGCTCCAGGTTTCTGAACCACGACGGGCTCTCTAAGTGTGCCAAGCTAACATTCCTAATGATATGCATTTGCAACTTCTACTTCTGATGAATCACGATGGATTGGTGGAAGGAGCACTCTTAGTTTCCGAGATAGTTGTGACTAGATTGCTGAAGCGTCCAACAAACCGAATCTATGCGCTGTCAGGGAAGCCATCTCCAATGCATTTTTAATCGGTCCTCTCAACCATAACCTTCAAGATGTTGTAACATGTGATGGTGCTTGTTAGTTCCTTGTGTTCCTCCGGATATTCACACATAGTTATATAGTATGGTAGCATAATCACTTAGCCCTTGTGGGGTGTTTATAGCTGACCTGCCGACCATGACTTCCTCATTTGTAAGTGCGAGGCCTAATATCGATAGTATGTTATCAGCTGTATAACTATTAGGTGGGGTGATATGGTTGTATAGTAGAATATTTGTGATAAGGTCTTGCAGTGCGGTCTTGACTCTTACGCTGGAGGATGCCGAGGCTTCCAGGTCGTGCACGTAGAAATCGCCGTTGATAAGAACGTGGCTGTTACTTGGGAGGGAGCTTTTTGTCAGTGCTGATATTAGGCGGGAATCCATTTCTGGAATGGTCGACGGAGAGTGATAAATGACTGCTACGAAACAGTTGTTCTTGTGTCTGAAGTGCGAATGGCACCATAGCGAATCAGTGACCCGCTTCTCCGGATCCTCCTATAGTTGCGATGATATAGGATTACACCACCTTTCCTGCTGGGACGATCGTGATGGAAGCGTGACATTCCCTGAATCGCAATCTCAGCATCCGGAACCTCTGAGTGCAACCAAGTCTCAATTATAGAGATGTGATCCCAAACGTTTGTATTTTGATGCAACCAAAGCTCGGCAATTTTGCTGAAGTGGCCCTGAACTTTGTTGTACATACATGAAAGTGTCTTGGTTCTCAGCAGCAATGCGAAAGGCATGTGGTTTGGATGAAAAGTTTTGCCGACCGTTGTGTGTTCGGCCGCTAGCCGTTTTTTGATGGTCTTTTCAGCCAGTCCCTTCGAATTGGGTTTGGTGACATCGTGATTAGTCTGTGTGGTAACTCACTTCTTACCGTGCATTCAGAGTGAATAAAGAATTCCACAGGAAGATCTTCACTTCTTTCAGACCCGCTAGCAAGTTAATTTCCGAATGGGATCCCTACCTCGTTTGCCTTCTGAGGTATCACTTTAATTCGGGTGACAGTTTACCTCGCCACTTTGAACAAACAGCGTATTCGTAGCCAAATACGCAGTTAACTGCAAATGAGCAGGTCATATTTGGATTGTTTTTACGAGCTATTTCTTTGCATAGCGGAGCACTGTTCTTGTCATCTGGCCCACACACATATATAGTTTCAGTGTTCCAATTATCTACTGTAGTTGTACGTTTGATATTCGACTTACCCCGGGGTACTTTGTTCCATTTACTGTTCATTTCACCAATACTCTACTTGGTAAGTATCACGTATTCTGGCATGCATATGCGCACCAACTGGGAGTCTGTGAGAACCCACCTCTAATTCGGACCACACTCTGAGACTACTGTCCCTGTTGTCCTGAAATATTACGCGTTCCCTGGTTCAGAACTCTCATAACACCGCAGTATGAAGTCGTCAGCACGGTGAATTTGATTCTCCAATAGGCATGATCTCTTTGTTTACACTCTTAAGTTCCTAGACAGACAGCAATTCAATAGAGTTCATTATGAAGGTGACTAATACTACACCAAATGTCTAAAGGGTATTTGATAACTGTTCAATAGAACAAGAAATGCTGGTGCTCGGTTAATTATACCTAGATGGTACGCTGTCTTGGAGTATGGTTTGTAATCGAGCGCTTATTCTCATTGCACGTGCAATCTCTGACGGCCCACAGGATCACTGTAGTTACTTCTCTTGCATATACCTACCAGGATTGTTTCGCCGAATGCGGTTGTACTGAATCAACTAGTCCTAAAAATATCTGCTTTCTTACTGGTTGGTTGCGACGAATCGCGTACGTCCATGTTAGCATCTTGTGCTTACGTCTATTCATGGTTTATTTGAACCACTGTTGTTGCTGCTGCTCGCCATCATCCTCTACTCTTCACATTGATACTTCTTGTGGACCTCGAGAATTCAGCCCCAGTTTATTCCGCACCACATATCTTTGTAACACACAACAAAAAGCTAAGACATCGGAAACAATTTACCTAATTCTCTTCATATTAATATGACTAGCATATTTCCAGCTTGATGCCCACCCTGCCAGACGCCCACGTTTTGTGAGCGATAGTTACCACTGCACAACTCTTTCGATTTCGAAATGCCCACTATGTATCCGCATGAGAACACGCTCCCAAATTGCGCCGCGATCTATTTTAGACTAGACTGTTTTCAAGTGCAGACAGTCGTCTTTGCTACTGTCATATTGTTATTGATAGAACCGATCAGCGATTTCCAACTACACTCTTTTTTCATCATTGTCTTCGATTTCCGTCCTGTCATTTCAGACTGAAAATAGCTCTCTCGTTGGAAAGCTTACAAAATCTCAGACAAACCGAGAACCATTCCTCGTCGAACCTCCCGTTTACACAAAACCCGAGCCTCCTGATCCGGACTCTGCGATTTTGCACCGAAAACCACTGTTTGAAACTCTTTCGTTCGCTTTGCCCAACTCCCGATCAAACTCTGCCAATTAGTTTTGTTCGCTTCATCCGAAAGATTTGTACAAAATGATTCTGGTTTATTTTTTAAATCATCGTGTTTTGAACTTTCCTTATCATTGTGTGCTACGTATCAGTGTCCGTGTTTGCAGTAAATCGGCATACCTGTAGGTCGAGGTGACGAATTCACCTCCATTGGTGATAAATCGTCTTCAACGATACTATTTAACTCAGAGAACAGGCGAAAACTTGTACAGTGTCCGAGTTTTCGGAGTGCCCCAAACTTTCAACTGAGGCTTGTCCAAGTCCTTCTGACCCGATTGGAAGTGTCGTTTTTGAATTATTCGTGGGAATGGATTGCGACGCGCAATCACAATATGAACCGCGTTACGCATCGAAATGAGCCTTTCAGGCGAGCAGCACCCAATATTCATCTAATCCCGACCCGCTGCATTACTCGTCCAGTTTATTGGGTAGCTGTAACTCCTGCGCAACATCGCTGTCAATCTTAACTGGTTTCCTGGTGTCCCAAGAATACTTTTCAAACGTAGCTCCTTGTTTTGACAGTTACTTCCCGCCTGGTCACTACAATGGTTCAGCTTTTGGATGCATGTCAATATTGGTTGCGTAGTTGGACCCTGGCAGTCGTTGAAACTAATGTTTCCTAGACTTACTGCTTACCTAAGTACAATGATTTTGTTCTCTTCCTTTGCAGAATGTGTTTTTCAAAATGATTTCCAATCTGATTCGCCTAAATATCTATGGCACTTTTCCCACTGGTTCAGTCTTTCCTCCTTATGGAAGAAACATACCATATTAGGTAGATGTTCTGATTTGTTTTTGACTGTTCTGCATTTATTTGGGATTCGTCAAAACCGTACACAGTCAGACCGCCGCTGCACATCCGGAAAAGCACTGGACAGCCGTCTCATATTTGCAGAATCGTTAACATTGCGTGTTCTATCTATCCCATGCAACACTAGAACTCACGACCCTACCGCCTACTGTGATATGTTGCGTATACTCATCCTCCGCTGTCATGCGCCTCCAGTGTACATAGGGGGACTGGTTTGCCACTTGAGTCTCGGGAACTGAAGTCACTTACTACTAAACTGGCTGATGTCGGTCTGTCTCACCTTCCAGGCTGGATTCCACGTAACCTGCTTTGTGCTGGGCTTGAGACGTTACAGGACATAGATCGCAGTCGGCACCATTGGTGTGTCTGCCGTCGTCTTCTATGCGCACTGCCTGTTTAAAGTGGGTTTGATGCTGAGTTATCCGCAGGCTAATTACTGATTATGACGTGGAGCAGTAAAGTCCTTTTGGAAACCGTTTCGCCGATGTCGTCTTCTTTTTGCACTATATCAAGCTGTATGTAACCGTACGTTATTGTCAAGGTGCAGGCGCCTTGACTGAATGTTTGCTTGGGGTGTCTAGGTTTTGTGCTAGATCCTCCTTCTCTCTCACCCATTATTTTTAATTTCGTAGACCATTGTGCTTGTATGGCAGCGAAACACTGGTTCAGATGTCTGATGTATCGTTCTGGATGATGCTGATTGGCTTGCTTCTGTTCCGGACCTTTCTTAGTCACTGCATACTTCCTAGACATTTTCTTTTAAGTTCATACCTAACCTGTGGTACCTAGTTGGAGATATGTTTTGCATTGTGTGCCCCATGTCTGTGGAAGTGGAAGTCAACACTCTGCGAGCAGAATCTGTGAGCCTTATTCTTCTCTAAATATGTTTCCCCTAACTCTTCAGTATTATACATTACTTTTTGCTCGTGTACCATTTACTGAGGTCATCCTAACCCAGACCTAAGTCAAAGGCACGGTTGACAACGGCTGAAATTTTTAGAATCAGCTGACATCGGATGTAGCTCTTCTATATGCAACTCAGCGGCACAATGAACCCAGTTCAGTTTGTGGCACACTTCTTAACCCTTTAATTCCCTTTAAAAAATGCCTCTACGTTTATGTGGCGAAAACACAGCAGCGACTATTCTTTCCTGTTTGCGTTCTCGTGGCAAGATCACTATCGAACGAATGGTCGAAATCTAACTTTCGGTGCCAAGTTGCATACTAACTAGGCGGTGATGATCCACCACGAGCGATTACTATCAACAACAGCGGGCATCGAAATCCGGTCGTTGCTGTTGTTCTACGCTACCCACTGCGGATTTTTCGCACATATGCAATTTATTTTGTCGTTTATTTCAGTCTATGTGCTGTTCCTTTATGTTTTTTCTTGCCAAAAACCACGCAAAGAATCTGTGTTAACAAAACTTGTAAAGTATTTGGTGCATCTTCCGCTGTACCAGAAGCAACTAGAATATTACCCGTCTCATCGTTAACAGGACGACAATCAGCTCCAGCTTGCTACCTGTTGTCCTTCAGTTCGAAAATCCGGATTTACCTGGAATACTGCTCCTTTCACTTATTGTCATCATCGTCGATTGATTTTCACTTCTGATTGCTTTTGTGCTGTGTCATAAATGCACCTTCGGCTCATTGCTGAACTTTTCTCCGGTTTGGGGAGTCCAGTTCACCTCATACGTCATTCTTGGTGTATCTGATTAGTGCTCACATCGATTACATCGTTGTATGCCATTGATAGGTGTGCATTTATCTTCCTCTAACTTCTTTCAACTCGACTCTTATTTCTGCCATGACAGTTGAAAGAGCCGTATTGTGTACCCGGGTCTCTTTCCGGCTGCTTTGGTGGTTATATTTGGCGGAGCGAGCTTTTGGCTAGCAGCGACAGTGACTGTTGCAGGGTATGGCTGAGCGTTTCGCATCCACAAAAGAAAGTTTCGATTGTGTGATCCTTAGACCAGAAAACGTGGAATGCCTACTGTCTCCATTCACTTCTCTGGACAAGAAACTTTACAGAATAGTGGTGTGCTTTAAAAACTTAAGTGCTCTCAGTCAGGAAACATAGGGATCTCGGAAAGTCACCAGATTTCGAGACTCCGACTTATTACCCGTTCAACACTGGAGTATCTGTTAACGTTAACCCTTCTGACAGCATTTTTGATTCCGCTGTTATTGCGGGCGACACAGAACCTCTTACACTTGTCAACAAACCGGAGGAAGGTAGAGTGCAATTAATTAATATGAAAATATGCTCCATCCATCATGTACTCCTTGTTTATTGTCCTCTACAAAATTGTCGCCATCCCCTCATCTTACGTAGCGTGTTACGCGAACATTTAGTCTACAGAAGCGGCCCCAAAGGGCAAGCGTTAGAATCGTCACGCCTGCTGCCAATACCCCACGTCGCGGTGACGTGCGTACTAATGGTAGTGTTACTTTCAGAAACGCCACCTAGTCCTCCGCTGCTCTACCAGAAGAACGCAAACTGAATAACCTTCAGTGGTTTTTACAATCTGTACTATTAAACTACTACTACCTGGCTTTCTCGGAGTGGCTGTTTGAAAACTTGCCAAGCTTGGTAGGATACCAGTTGATCAGTCCAACTTACAACTTCCTTTGTTAAGAGTTGTTCTATTCGCTCCTGAAGAGCTCCAGACTCTTTTGCATGTTGCCTTTAAAGTTCAGAACAACGGTGTCTATTCAACCTGGTCATATTCCGGCAGATAACCTAAAGAAAGCAGTCTAGGATCTTAAAGTATGTCGCGAATACTAACTACTATATCACGGGATCAAGCGGGAATTTAAATCTGGGCCACTCCATTGAAATATGGCCAAAATCATTAAAAACAAAACTATCTATGACCTGTCAACACTGATCGCTTTTCATGTTGTTGCGTGACCTCGTAAAAATAGTAGAATCGCCGGTCTAATAAATAGACATGGGGCCAAACAAAACAATGGGGTTCAGCGGATGACAGGTAGAATTGCTGCGACTTCATCATTATGGCGCATTAGTTGAAACTGAGCAATACACTTCAACCATTGCACCGTAGGACAAATGGAGCCATTTTGTTGTACTTTCATACGCCATTTTTTCATATCATTTTTGACTGTTAGGCCTTACGCATCTGAAACTGAACCCGTATGTAATCAGATCTTCCACTGGTTTCGATTGCTCGATTAATCCTAACTTGTCTCCTGGTATCGGCACTCATCCTTTGGTGCGCAACCAGGCAAGTGTGTGGGTCCAACAGCAACGAGACGTAAAGTCAGTGATTTCACATGTTGTTGCCTGGTTGACCACCGCTTAGTCTCTTTCATTCGACTCATGCACGAGCGGAAAGGGTGCGATAGGGCCAAGACTCGGCTTACATACTCAGGACATAACCGAGCCATCTTAACTGGCACAGTAAAACTAGGTGCTGAAGCGAAAACTCTTTTTCCCTTAGACACGATTTCTGACTTCATCGTTGCAGACAATCTGTTGCCAACACACACGAGAACTTCTCCCTAAGTACTCGTTATCGAAGGCTGAGAGCCGGCGCATGTCATCCGCGTGAACTGGCCATGACTTTCTTCCATGTAGCAACACCGCCCGAACTGTCGCACAGTAAACACGGCTCTTAACTAAAATGGAAACATTCCGACAACGCCACAAATGTCACAGCTTCACAAACGCAGACCGGGCTTTGGCATCATTATCATCATCATTTCACACGTTATCTATACCATTTCTCACTTGCTAACATCCTTAACGCAATCGCTTACATCCTTAGTGCAGAAGCCATCATTCTTAGTGCAGAAGCTTTCCTCCTTAATGCAAAGGCTATCATCCGATAATCATCGCACTTGCATCCACGTAGCACTGCGTGGGCAGAGGCTACCAGCCAATAGAATTCGGTATAGCGTAGAGACTGAACACAGTTACGCGCAGAATACTCACGCTTTCGGAGGTGGGTAGGAAAACTGTGAGACTTGGGTGAGACTAGCGTGGTCCAACTCAAATGGACGGCAATTGAGACTTTACTAAACGGAGCTCAGCCGGTGCACAATGTGCCGGGCGCCCTCACTCGACAATGGGGGTGTCTGAGACATCCATCGGAGCGCGCGCAGTTCCTGAGGAAAGAGAACTGCGTGCGCTCAGAGCACCGGGTATAAGCCT